CACAAGCACATCTGTAGCCCCTCCGGCCGTGCAACCTAGTTCCCTGGCAGGATCTCTAAACCACAACTACCGTTACGTAATCCTAGACCCTATGAAGTTCCGCCCTCTGGAAACCTGCGTACTTTATGCCTGGGATCCCTTTTCAGCAACTCCCTACTCCACCACGGCCTCCACCCTCTCCGAAGTCACGTGCAGCCCCACCCCTACGACCTTTAGCTGTATCTCAACTTACTGCTCCAAACCCCCTTCAACTACAGCCAACGCAGAGGATTCCTGCTCACTCCCAACGGAGCTCCCCCCTCCCAGAGAGTTTGATTATACCACTAACTTCCTCACTGCACCCTATCCCCTGCCCTCACCTTGCATCTCTTACCATAAACCTCTCAATCCAAATACTCCAATCAGCCCAGTTTGGTTATCCGTTCCCTCCGCTCCCTACGATTCGATGCTGAAGGCTCTACAAAACAGATCCACCCCACCTCCCAGTGCCCCTGCCTTACCCTCTCGTTCCCTGTCTCTTAAATACTTGTCCTGTCCTTCCATCCGGCGTGACCTAAATCCCGCTGTTTCTGTTGAGCTACCACACACGGTACCACCTTCTGACTGTGCCGATTACATTATTACAAACGACTGCCCGACCCAGCCTGTTACTCTTTGTCCATGGAGCTCCGCTACCCAAACGCTGCCTCGGCACCCATCGCGGTACGCCTCATCATCTTATTCTCACTTATCTTTACCTGGTCCTACTTCGCCTACTAATTCGAGAACCCCCGATTCCCTTGTCTCTACTCCATTCCATACTGACCTCCCTGGGCTTGTCAACCAACCTCCCCCGATCCCACTAGCCACCTTTCTGTCGTTTTAATCAACACCCGCTCTCTCTTACCTAAATTGCACTACATCCAAGCTATCCCCATTACAGCTCGTCCAACCTAATTTGCATCACAGAGACGTGGCTCTCTCCCAGCACGCCTAAAGCCCTTATCTCCTTTCTGGGATACGCTGTCTTCCGTACTGATGGTTTCCACCGCCATGGAGGTACCTGCCTCATATACGCCAGAACTGAAATGGAGGTCTCCACCATTGCTGATCCACTACTGGCGGACACTCCAGTTCGGATTTCTGCCTGTCGGGCTAATCAGCCGTTCATCCTCGTTTGTTTGTACATGCCCACTCCACACTCCGTTAGGTCGATTAATCGTCTACCTACGCTTCTTTCTCACACTCAAGCTCTGCCTCACCAAAACAAACTAGTTGTTGTGGATCTCAACCTTCCTGAGATCGCCTGGGCTCAACAAAACTCCCGTTTGCGCCTTTCGTATCTGCTCGCTCAACTTAATGTCGAAGGCTAGTCCCAGCTTGTAAGGCAACCAACACGCGGTACCCACACTCTGGGCATTGCCCTTGTCAACGGCTACCTGTGTCCCACCGCTACAGTTGGTCCGAAGTTTCCTGACAGCGACCATTGTACTGTAACTTGCAGCTGGACGAGCACTCTACCTTCAGCTATCCTTCCTCCTTTAACCTCTTTCATCCCTTCCCCGGGCATTCTTGAAGCCTTTGCAATCTCATTGCACCATAAGACCTCTTTCTCTCTGGTGACACGCAACGTGGCTAACACCTTTTCGGGCAACTTACTATCATCATTCCGTACTACTAGGGTGGGTTCAGTAACCCCTACTGGAATGGTGGAATTATCCTATGCTAGAATTGATTCAATGTGTTCCAAAGAAGTGTTCATCATACCCCAAGGATCATCAATAAAAGGGTAACACCTCCTGAACTGGAAGTTTAGTCATACTTATGACATAACATGAGATTATTGTTAGTCATGAATGACATGGTCGTACGAGGGCTGGGATGTTGCCATGTCGCCCACACCTAGACAAGAGGACCATTAGGGTCCTCAACCAAAGCCTCTGGCTCAAAAGCCTAACTGTAAGGCAAGGGTGTTGGGCTGGAAATGCAAGTACATTATCATTTTTACAGAACACCCCTCCACACATGTTCCAACCCCCAAACTGGAGGGCCAGGAGACTGTGTTCGTTAGACCTCCACCCAGTGGAGACCTGGTATGAGATACTCTGTGAGTGTCGCGCGGACAACCCCAAGTATAGCTCAGTGGGTCGCCGAGGTACACAAGCAGCCACACCACGGTAAGGCCCAGTCTCTTCGTGGCAGAGAAACATCAGTAACAAAACTGATGTTGCCGTCTTTGATGATGACTAACATCATTATATCTAGTTGCTCCCACACGAGCTTCCTTTGCTTCTGGTTGTCATCCAGCCACTTGATTGCCCGCTACATGGCCTAAACTTAGGAAGTATCGTAGGCTCTTCCTTGAATCCCATGATCTCTCCCTCCGTATTGTAATGAACAAACTTATGACTGCTATTACCACGGCCAAACTCGCCCTTGAAAAGCGTGAGGAATCGACCGCCGTAGCCCATTTTCTACAGCCTAAGATGCTGGGGCGCCTCTCTCACCGGCGTTGCTTCTCAAATTCATCTTCAGTTTCAAATATTGTGGCCACTGACGGGAAAGCTCACTCTGACCGCACTGACATTGCGGAATCTCTCTCATGCCCGTCTCCACTGGCCCGGTTACATATCCACCCCCCGACCTTAAGCTTTCGTACCCAGGACAATTATTCCTAGTTTTTCAAGCCTGGTCCCATCCCTGAGTAACTCTGTCAGCTCTATATGACGCCTGGTGCTTTACTTTGGCCGGATTTGCCCAACCTCACCCAAACTAAAGCCTCAGTTCCACGCTGTTCCGAACCATTCTGCATCCCCTGAACACGCGCAGCGCACACATATCAAATGGTGAGTCTGAAGATGCGCCATGAATGAAATACTTGTTTGGCCTCACAGCGCAATCATTCACACATACACATAGCACTGGTGCACCTCTACTTGACAGAGTGGTTTACACCAATGCTTCATCATCGTTTAGCCATAGTACACAGGCTCTGAACATCTCCATTCTACTCCCATTGCCCAAAAGGTAGTTGACGTTTCATTTGCACATTTCATTAACGCACAAACCGCGCTTATGACTGCTTGGGTGGTTTTCCACCTTGCAGATCTGGTAGCGTGCACGAGGGATGAAAACCTCGTGTGGTGGACGGGTACGCCCTGCAGGGAGGGTCGCCCTGTTACGT